ATAGGCCTCACAGGTGCCACAAAGGTAGGTTCTGTAGCAGTACTGTGATTTGTCTGTGAAACACCATATTACTTTTTATATAGGAGTGATCTAGTCATTTTTTGTGTAGCTACACAAAGGGTGACTGCCTAGGCCCATAAGGTCAGGGGGCCCCATAATGACTGTATCTCCCCTTTCATTACCAGCTGGATGCTCATCTTCAAAGCTGTTTTATACATGTGAAACTTTAAAGGCACTGTACAATTTTCAGATATTTTTGTTTTAACTAGGTGTTGGCACAATTATAGCTATATACCCTGTGCTGTATGTTTGCCTCACCTTGTAATGATGGGCTAACATGGTGTGTCTGCAAGTTGTAGTCTCATGGCTGACTGATTCCCCTATATCCATGTAAAGCTGCTGGTAGCTTGTCCCTATTCACTAGAGGGACAGGCAACTTTTTGTTCCAGGTCACAGTGTCCAACACATGCTTAGCAATTTCCTCCATATTGTGTCACAAATGTGGGAGTGCCATTGTGATGAAAACATGTCTCATGCAGCAGGTGCAAGCTCTGTTAATTGCTCTGCCTATGTCAGATATAATTACTATGTAGTTCTCGAACTGCGGAGCACTAGACCTGAGAGAACCAGGAATTGTGGGATATATAGTTTCTTTACAGGAAGTTCAGTAATCACAATACCGACAGAGGTCATGCATTAACCTGTGCAGTGCCTTGCCACATGTATGAACACAAGCAGAAATGTCTGACATGGGAATATGAAGATTTACTCTACTATAGGCTGTTTGAAAAACACAAGGTGCATATAGCAAGGTTTACAATGGCTTTAACCACTTTTGACTGAGAATTGAACTCGCAGTTAAAAGTGGTTGCCTTCAATCAAGCAGTCTGTCACTTATGAGTTTTAGTGATCACCTGAAGATGATCAATCAAACTAGGCTGTATACTGACAACTTTTAATATGAGTTTTTAAACAAAAAACCAGAAAAACTACAGCAATTTCGTTGAAAGCTGTCAGATTTTTCTGCCGAGTTCAATTAAGGCAATTTCAATCACACCTCCTTGTGATCATCAGAAACCAGTAATTTTCAAATTCAATTACTTTGAATTACTACTTCATCTCTTATCAAACATGGTTAAAATTTTTAAAAAAATTGCAATATGTATGTACAGCCTTATGTATGAATATTTCCATTTATGTAGATAGCCTAAATAGTCTAGGTCAACCTTTCTCAACCAGGGTTCCTTGGAATCCTAGGGTCCCTCCAGAGACTGCTAGGGGTTCCTTTAGCAATAAAAATGTCTACTTCTCATGGCCAGCTTATATGTTGGATTCTTCTGACTGACCACAAATGTAAAGAGCATCCTTCTCACTGACTGCCATGCTTCTGTACTGTATGCTAGGGGTTCCTTTAGCAATGAAACATTTCTGCTTTTCATGACCAACTTATGTGGTAGATTCTTCCAACTGACCACAAATATAAGGAGCATCCTTCTCATTGACTATCATGCTTATGTACTGTAAGTTACAGATAAAAGTACCGTATTTTTCGCTCCATAAGACGCACTTTTTTCCACCCAAAAAAGGGGGGGAAATGTTAGTGCGTCATATGGAGCGGCCGGTCCGGTATTTCCACCGCCGCCGTGTCCAGAATACCGGGCCGGCCACTCAGCTCTGCAGCGGGACCTTATGGAGATGACTGCTGACCTGTGGGGAGCGGGTACCTGAATTTGACAGGTACCCGCTCTTACTTCCGCGGAGTTGTTCTTTGACCTTACCTGTTCCTCTATCCAGCGGCGTGCTGTCTTCCCGGCTTCTGTAGTGTGGGTGCTGGGCTTGACAGCCGGGTGCGAAGTGCGCATGCGCAAGAAGCCGTGCTTTTTGTGAATGGTAAGGCGGGTACCTGGGACACATGACAGATCCCAGAAGCCACCGGACCAATCACAAAGCGCAAGTGCTTCTCGATCATGTGCACTGGGCACCCGGCTGTCATGCCGAGTGCCGACACTACAGAAGCCGGGAAGACAGCGCGCGGCTGGATCGAGGAACAGGTAAGGTCAAAGAACAACTCAGCGGAAGTAAGAGCGGGTACCTGTCAAATTCAGGTACCCGCTCCCCCCCCTCCCCAAAGGTCAGCAGTCATCTCCTGTACTGTCCGCAGTCTCTAGTCATCCCTGTACTGTCCGCAGTCTCTGGTCATCCCTGTGCTGTCCGCAGTCTCTGGTCATCCCTGTGCTGTCCGCAGTCTCTGGTCATCCCTGTGCTGTCCGCAGTCTCTGGTCATCCCTGTGCTGTCCGCAGTCTCTGGTCATCCCTGTGCTGTCCGCAGTCTCTGGTCATCCCTGTGCTGTCCGCAGTCTCTGGTCATCCCTGTGCTGTCCGCAGTCTCTGGTCATCCCTGTGCTGTCCGCAGTCTCTGGTCATCCCTGTGCTGTCCGCAGTCTCTGGTCATCCCTGTGCTGTCCGCAGTCTCTGGTCATCCCTGTGCTGTCCGCAGTCTCTGGTCATCCCTGTGCTGTCCGCAGTCTCTGGTCATCCCTGTGCTATCCACAGTCTCTGGTCATCTCCTGTACTATGTCTGCAGTCCATTAGTTCAGAATTTTTTTTTTCCTGTTTTCTGCCTCTAAAACCTAGGTGCGTCTTATGGTCAGGTGCGTCTTATGGAGCGAAAAATACGGTAGTTAGGATTTCCTCAGAAAGGTTGAGAAAGACTGAGGACCAAATTCCTTAGCCCTGGTGTAGAGATCAGTAAAATAAATGTACTATAGTTGTTATGCACACTTCTCATCCATATATCAGTTATTACATTGGTTATTTTTTCAATTGTATAGTAATTTTATAGTTTCAAAAAAATAATTCCTTAAAGAAGAAGACGCATTACCTGTTGTAGAAGCCGAAATCTAGACAGCCCCAGCAAACCCCCCCGTAATGTTAGTCTGGGGACTGTATCCTACGTGTGTGCTCACCCAGGCACGTGGTTCCTGAAGACCCCTTGTGGTGTATTCCACCAGGAGAGGGTGATGCCAGGTTAATGCTTGTTCCCCCTTTGAGAAGAGGAAGTCAGTGGAACAGTGCTGCAGATAGGAACAGTGCTGGATCATGAGGATACAGGTAAGTGTTTAGAGACAGGGGAAGGGGGCTAGTGGAATGTTGTTTACGCTAATGCAGGGAATGCATTAAAGCGAAAAATGATTTGCCTTTAGAACCATTTTGAGTTCTGCTTTAAGGATCGAGTTCCACCCTTTCCTGTCAAAATGCAGTCCACTAAACCTGTGAGCACTTTTTCATCAGGCTACTGTTTCCCAGATTTCCAAGGCTGTCATCTGGTCCTTTGCTCACACTTTCCCCAAATTTTATCAGGTGGGTATAAGGCCCTTCAGGCGGCCCTTTGAGCTGCAGGCAGTCTCTAGTTTTGATGTTTTTTGTGTATCTATTTGTGTTTTGTTGCTTTTGCTCATCCATAAGTTGGACTGCTTTTGGGCATCCTGACTGTCTCTAAATTGCTGTGTCTCTTAATGAACGAGAAAGAAAATGGGATTTTTGTGCTTACTGTAAAGTCCATTTCTTTGAGTTCATTGAGGGACACAGGTGTGTCTATGATCATGCTCTTGGTACTGCCTGTCCACAAACTGAGGCACACTTGAGCAGAAGACTATACTGTGCTGGCCACAATTTTTTTTTTTCCCACCAGGTTTCAAATTCTTCAGTAGGCAGTATTCTCTGAATTCCTGTGTCCTTGATAGTAAGTACAAAAGTCCAGTTATCTGTATCTGTTCCCTTTATTGCCAGAGATTTTGTAATTCTATTTGTCTGGGTTTGCATAGAACAAGAAATGGACTGGAAAGTAAGTTGCTGTCTTTTTTCTTTCCCTGGCAGATGAAGTTGATGGCGGCTCACACAGTGATAGCGATGCACTACCATGTCATTTTGTGCCTCCTCCTGGCTCAGTCATTTATACAGTGTTTCCTGATGGTACTCCAGTTCCCCAAGGAACAGTCATTTATGGACCTCCACCACCTTCCACTGGGAGATCTGTGGCCCCTGGGACTGTTGTATATGGGCCTCCACCGCCTGGCACTCAGTTTGTTTATGGTCCTCCTCCCCCACAGTTTACTATTCCAGTCATTCCAGCTGGCATTCTGCACTGCAATGTGTCTGCACATCACAATCTGGTGAGTCCTTTTTCCCATTATGTATGATGGATAATCACAAGCAGCAGTACCACTCTTTGGAAAAACTTTGGAATTGATGCTGTTACACTATCACTGTCGCTGGATTATGTTGTACTATGTAATCAATAGTTGCTGGTTTAATTTGTCTGTAATTCAGTAAATAAGTATTATAATGCATTTTAAGTGAGGGAATGAGAAGAAATCTCTCTGAAGTGACTGGAATTTCCATCTTAGATAGTTTTCATTGGAACAGATATCCCCATTGGAGGATTTTCCCTCACCTCTTGCTCCAATGACAACTCAAAATGTTTGGATTGCCCCTTCTCCTTCCTATCACGTCTTTCTGTTATAATAACAACGGTCAACAAGATAAAAAGAGGGGTGAATCTCCCCAACGGAGCACAAACCGCATAAAAAAATCTTGACAAAGGGTCTACCTTTCTCTAGTCTATCCAAAACGAAAACCAATTGCTTTTACATACAATTCAAACTAGTGACTGTATATAGAAAATACTGTTGATTCCTATTTAATGTATTTTTAATAGGAAAATGAAGTTACTCACCTTGAAGATGTTATTGATCATCTAAAGTCTCGACAAAAGAAAGAAAATAGGGCAAAACAGCAATTAACAGGTGATATTGAAGAATTGGAATGTCGCAAACAAATGCTAAAAAGGGAAGTCGATGATTTGCATAATGCTTCCCAGAAACGTAAGCGCAAGTAAGTGTCTCCCGTGCAGGAATGATCTAAATGTGTAAGAAAAGAAAGTTGTGATTTTAGATCTTTGAGGCTTATTGGTGGTTTTGTATTTATCTTCAAGTACTGTATGTTTTAGCATGGCTAGCAATTTGTGCCTTTTCAGAAATTTCATGGAGGGACACCTGGACCACCTGATTACAGAGCTGGAGCTGGAGAGATCATTACAGCATCATGGCAGTATTGAGGACGAGATTGAATGCATAGAAAAAACGCTTGTGAAGAGAAGGGCTGAGCTCCGAGAGGCTGACCGGCTGTTAGCAGAAGCAGAAAATGAACTGAAAAACACAGAGGAAAAGGTTGGTTGGCGGCTCTGTATGTCATGTAGTCTTACAGTACTTGCTGTAAAGACTGTTCATTGCAGAATGTGATAGCTACTGTCATTTTGTATTTCTTTGTTTTCCAGAATGCAGATTTAAAAGAAAAATATTGTACAGCCAAGAAGCATTTATCCCAAACGGAGAATGACGCAGAGGAGCTGGAGAGACGGGCACAGGAAATGGCTGTGAATCTTGTAAAAGCTGACCAACAACTGCGGTATGTCACAGTGTGTGTGAATGCACAGTTATGTATGATCAGGACTACAGACCTTCACTCCCTTATTCGCTCCCACTCATTGTTGTCAAAAGTCTCATATTGGGAATGGATAGGGTCCATTTAGCAGCAGAGGACATGGAGACAATCTGACAAAATCAGTATTCTTTAGGCTTGCGCCCCCTGAGTATAATACCTGATTTGTATTTGTTTATTCATTGTGTACAATGATACAGACTTTGACTCTAAAAGGATGACTGAGCACCAGTTTGTCCTAGACATTCAAAGATGGTCAGCTAAACATAAAAGTTGTGTTGCCTTAGTGTGCATTCATGCAGTGGGCAGAGGGTGCTGGCCTTTTTGCTAAGGAGACAAATCTAACTTCCAGAATCATTTATATAGGTCAGTAGACCTTTCTGTGAGCACAATCAGCAAAAATTGCCTGCTAGAACACATAGATGTGTGAGGCTTCCCAGAAAGAGAATAAAATGCTCTTACAGTTTTTGCATGTTTATAAGTTAAGGTTTATGTGCTTAGGGTTCTGCAAGCAAATTCCAGAAACTTGGAACAGCACAGAGCAGAGCAGGAAAGCATTCTGCATGAGATAAACAGTGTTGTGTCTGCAAAAGATGCTGAATTCCAGTCTGTGAACCACAAGATCCAAACCATGGCTGAAAGGTAGGCAATTGATGTCCCATGTTTCTGTACGATGCAATATACTGTCATGGTAAATTGGTGAAATATTCATTATTCTCTTAATTTTTTCTGCGTCTCTATCATTTTCTATGAATATTTCATATTTGTGGGGAAATTGTCCGGCTTAAGTCTTCAGAAGTTGCAAGACGATATCCTGATAGCAGAGGGGAAAGAAAGCCACCATCTGCAGACACTGAAGGAAGCTGAAAACCTCCTTGTGGAGAAAAAGATTGCTCTGGAGAGGCTAAACAGTCATGTAAGTAATTAATGCTTTCTGTTTCACTAGGACAAATATAATGTTGCTATGATCTCCCTCTGAACTAATTCTGGCTTTTCTTTCCCTCCAGATTTCAGCACAGCAGGAGAGGATTTCAGAATTGGACCGGCTCTTGGGACAAAAGAAGGAAGAGCTGCATCTCCTTCAGAACCACCTTGAGCTAAAGAAGACTGATCTGAAGGAGGTTCTGCGAGATGGGGAGATGGAGGCAGCTGAGAGAAGGCGGGAGATAAAGGTAATCTATCCAAGCAGTTTGGGATACAAATAAAGAGACAGCATTTATCACAACCTTGCTTTTACAAAATTGTATTCTCTTATGACCACAGTTTTTTTTTTTTTTTTTTTTTTTTCAGCTGGAACTTGGTGGAACTCAATTCCACCATCTCTTGCTCATGTCCTGTGCTCCCTGCTCACCCATATCATTTGTAAACACAGAAGTCTCTGGCTTCTGTGTTTACAAGTGACCGCTTGTCTTCCAATAGCTCCCATAGATCTGATCTCCTGAGCGGCTCCCACTGATTACAGGATGGGGACAAGGAGATGAAGGTGCCCAGGGTGCAGTGTGAATGCTGGCATCCCCACTGGATGAGCTGCTTGCAAGTGAGAGAGGTGGAGCCACCTACAGTGTGCCTTGAGATACTAGAGCTGGGTGCTTAAAGCGGAGCTCCACCCAAAAGGGGAAGTTCTGCTTTAAGGACTGCTCCCCCACTCCCCATTAAGGATTGGCACCTCTGGGGGGCGGGGCGGGTACCCAAATTTGACAGGTACCAGCTCCCAATTGCGGTCGGACCACCTAGGCGATCGGAAACAGAAGGTGTCCTCCCTCCTTCCCTCCCCGTAGTCTTCTGGGACACGTGACAGGTCCCAGAAGATTACAGGACCATTCATGAAGCGCAGCGCTACTCGCACATGTGCAGTGGGTACCCGGCTGTGAAGCCGCAAGCAGTCACAGCCGGGTGCCCACACTGAAGATACCAGCCTCCAGGAATCCAGGACAGCAGGTGAAACGGGCTGCGGGGGACACTACATGGGACCGAGGGACAGGTAAGTGGCTGTTTTTTTAAAAGTCAGCAGCTACAGTTTTTGTAGATGCTGACTTTTTTTTTTTTTTGGCAGAATGAGTGGAACTCCACTTTAAGCTTAATACAGCAACAAAGGTAAGACATGTGGGAGATTGTGGAGCTTTTAAGGGGGAGAAGATGGGGGGGGGGGCTGCAAGCAGAGTGGGTGAATGTGAGATGTGGATGGGTGGGATAGAGAAATAAGTAGGTGTGAGAGAAGACCAACTCTACACTCTGTTTGTAACGCACCCTGAACTCTGCACTATATGTATGTAGTGCACCCCTAAACTCTCAAACTATGCACTCTGTATGTACTGCATTCCCCTGGTATTTAATGTCCCTTCAAGACACCCCCCCCCCCCCCCCCCACTGCTAGTGACAATTGACCACACACACTTTTAGATGCGGTTTGAAGTGTATGTGTGTGTGTGGTTGAGTTACTGCACCTATTTTCTGAGAGAAAAAGCCATGCATATGACCGGTACAGAGGACTATAACATGGGATGTTTAGAAAATAATTTTTAAAAAGTGTTAAAATCTTTTTAAAAAAAATATTTTTGTTAACTCCCCAAAACCCAGCCCCTGCTACAACCCCCCAACAACTCCCCCCCCCCGCACATCCATGCTTGTACGCAGAAAAGAACGCATACGTCGGTCACACACACATATGTAAACCGTGTTAGCACCACACATGGGAGGTATCGCTATGAACGTATAGTAAGAGCAATAATTCTAGCGCTAGACCTCTGTATCGTAGTTTTGCCATTTCACGAGCGTGCACAATTTTAAAGCGTGACATGTTGGGTATCAATTTACTTGGTGTAACATCATCTTGTATTTTTTATCAAAAATTGGGTTATATATTGTGTTTTTTGTTTTTTTTTTTTTTTTTGCATTAAAATTCATTAAAGTGTATTTTGTTTTTAAAAACTGCATTTAAAAAACTGCTGCGCAAATAGCATGTTAACATAAAAAACTGCAACAACTAAAATTTTATTCTCTTTGGCCTCTGCTAAAAAAAAAAATATGATTGGGGGTTCTAAATTATTTTCTAGCAAGAAAATGCTGTCAGTTGATATCACTGAGCCAGTCCAGGCTCTGGAGAAATCTCAACTTTAAAGTCAAGATCCACCCACATTCCTAACCAGCAGCTGGCACAGCCTCTCAGTGAGACCGCTGAAAGGCTATGCCAGCTGCTCATGCCCTCGCTACAGCACGGTGCCCCAGTGAGTGCTGGAGGGACAGAGTAGGACAGTCACCGGCTCTCTGCTCACTGGAGACCAAGAAATGAGCAATCAGCTGTATTTGATCCCTCAGTTCTTGGTCTTAGAGGAGCGGGGAACAGATGCAACAGATGCAGCATCAGATCAATGCTGCATCCACCTGGGTCAGTATAGGCAGTCCCTGGGTTAAGAACACATAGGGTCTGTAGGTTTGTTCTTAAGTTGAATTTGTAAGTTGGAAAAGGTAAATTTTTTTAAGTGTAGCTCCAGCCAAAAAAAATATTTTAAAGGTTAACACTAATGTAATGTTTGTTTTGCTGTCTGTGTCAGAGCCTGGGTCTGATCCTGGGACTTTTGCTGTGTGTGTGGCAATGTTTCTTTTTGCTGTACCCTTTGCTCCTCCCATGAACTTACTGATTTAACCTCATGAGCCGCACCTTCCTGGCCCTTTAGAGTTTCAGAGCCGGGAGGTGGGCGGGGTTTTAGGGTCATGTGACCGCCGTGATTTGTCGTCACATGATCGGAAAAGGTCCCGATTGCAAAGGGAGATCGGGACATTTCCGTGAGTCACGGACATATGTGCTGAGAGTGCGCAGGGCACGCGCTCTCAGAACATATGTATTTTATAATGGCACGCAAATATGCGGCCGCTCGGCGTCAAGGGGTTAAGCGCTGTCTCTGCACTTCCTCTTTGCCAGATTATTGTGCTCTCTTCAGCCAGTATCTTGCTCCTTGCCTTCTCTGCTGTCATCCATATTTTGCTACCACTCGTTATTGACCCTTGGCTTGTTCCTCGACGACACTTCTGCCTGATCCCAAACTGTGACTCCTCATTACTGACCTTTGGCTTGTCTATTGATTATGCTTCTGTTTGATCTTTACCTGCTTAATACACTACTAGACCTCTGCTTGCTCACCTCCTGGTGGGGCAATCCTGAAGACCACAACCTGATGCTAACACACAGCAAAATCCATCTCCACCATCAGGAGCTCTGGTGAACACTGGTTAGTACTGAGACTCCGCACCTCAGATGAGCCCACTCCTCCACCAGGATGACCTGCCTGTGTACCTCTACTACTGGTTTCTGTGTGAGCCTTTCCACTGCTATAGCAACTGATTTTTGAGCCTGACCCCTGATCGTGACACTGTGCTTCTGTTTAGAAGATTTCACCTCACTTTCTGTCCCTGTGAAAATTGGATTTTAAAATTTGGGCTGTCGTGGAAACAAGGATTAGTGATAAACCTTCAGTGAGACACCTTTTTCCCATGATAACTCTTACAGGAGTAAATTTACCTTTCTATGGGTAGATTTCCTCTCCCTCCATTAGTAAGTAGGAGTCATTTGGTAACTTGGATGTTTGTAACTCAGGGACTGTCTGTATGTATGTTTGTCTTTTTTTCATTCCTGTACTTCCCTTTTAAGAGCATGCATGTATTTGGGGCTCCAAGACAACGCTGCAGAAAAATCAGTCCTTTTTTTAAGGCACATAGAGGTTTCTCCGCTAGACAGCAAGGACTAGTTTCTAGCTTTTTTATATAATATAAATAACCAAATGAAGTCATAAATGATCTCTGATGTTACTGTCAGCCATTTTAGAAGTACTGGACCATTTATCCTCTGCTTTGCCTTGTAGGAGGTGAAATCCTTGTTGGATGATTTAAGTGTTGAGAAAGGGGAACTGCATGCACAGCTGAATGAGAAAAGACTGCAGCTCTCCAACCTTAAACAGGAAGTGATGCAAGAAGAGGACAATCTACAAAAACTCGCCTCTCAGATTCACAAACAGAAAACTGGTAATTTGTCTAGCTTGTCTTTATTCATCCCAGTAGGTAATGGAACCTTGATGCACACCACCTGCATTGGTCATGTTGGTCTGGTCACTCCAAATTGCAGTGTGCCAGAAGCTGTGGGGCATGTCAAGGTGTTGTCAGGCATATTGTAAGCGGGCTTTTTGTGCCATTTGCTCAGTAAAGTTTTCTTCCCCCTAATGTGGGGTTTTGGACAGTTGCTCTATTGTGCAAGTAAATTGCTTATGGACACTTGATGGACTGTGGTTTTGCGCCAAAATGTTTCTCTTGTAATTGATTTCTTGCAATGGTAGCAAAGACCTGTACTACTAGCATGGAAGTCTTTAGAGTCCTACGACTTATGATAGTTGGTCTTGAAATTTTTTTGCTCTCTTGGGTCCTCTGCTTGTAATAAATTTCTTTTCTTTTGTAGAGTTAAAACATGTGCTGGAAATGCAGCAACTGGAAACAAGGGAGCTTCAAGGATTGAAACTGCAGCATGACCAGAAAATTAATGACCTGGAGAAGACTCAGTCACTGCTAATGCAGGTGAGAGATATGCCAATAAGCCTTACTACATATTTTATTACATAGTTAGTCTTGCTGAAAAAAGACTAAAGTCCATCTAGTTCATCCATAGAAAAAAACAGTTATAATCCTATACCCACAGTTATCCAGAGGAAGGCAAACAAAAAAAACCCAGCAAAGCATGATCCAATTTGCTCCTGCAGGGGAAAAATTTCCTTCCTGATCCCCTGAGAGGCAATCAGATATTCACTGGATCAACTTCACCTATAAATGTTAGTATCCAGTTATATTCTGTGTATCTAGGAAAGAATCCAGGCCATTTTCAAAGCAATCCACTGACCTGGCCAGAAACAGCTCTTGAGGGAGTCTATTCCACATTTTCACAGCTCTTACTGTGAAGAATCCTTTCCGTATTTGGAGATTAAATCTCTTTTCCTCCAGACATAAACAGTGCCCCCTTGTCCTCTGTGATGACCTCAGGGTGAATAACCTATCAACATTCAGCCTGGGTTCACACTGAAGCAGTGGGGAATTTGCAGCGGTTTCTGTGCGAATTCGCACCGCATTGCAGTCACACCTCGTTCATGTGAACCGCTGCAGGTGTGTACATTAACGGCCCCCCCGGAATCGGTCCGCTAAACGGGGTGCGATGTGCAGAATCGGATTGCATAGGTGTGAAAACCATGTGATACAATTCTAGTGCAGTCCAAAAAAAGGATCCTGCACCTTTTTGGTGCGGATGTGGTGCGATTTGAGCCATACAAACTCTATGGCTCAGACTGCACCGCACAGAATTCGCATGTGAGTTGCACAGGAAAGGGGTGTGTGCGGTTCCTGTGCGAATCACATGCAATATGCCACACCGCAAAAGTATGAACGCAGGCTAAACCTCATTTGCAACATAGTTGCCAAATTAAACAGTGCAGTGACATCAGCTTGTAAGTCGGAGACATCCTATAAGGCCATTATTCCACTGCACAGCTTGGCGTCATCTGCAAAGACTGAAGCAGTATTTTTAATCCCAGACCCTATATCATTTATCAATATACTAAAAAGTAAAGGTCCCCACACTGAACCTTGGGGTACACCACTGACAACCCTAGACCATGCAGAGTATGAATCATTAACTACTACTCTCTGAATACAATCTTTTAGCCAGTTTTCAATCCATTTACATACAGATTTTTCCAAGCCGGTAGACATTACGTTACACATTAGCCGTGTGTGGGGAACTGTGTCAAACGCTTTTGCAAAATCCAAGTATACCACCGCCAGCCCTCTGTCCAAAGTTTTGCTCACCTCCTCATTAAAAGAAGTCAGATTTGTCTGACAACTTCTGTCTTTCATGAATCCATGTTGTCTGTTGCTTAAAATATTTTTTTCCAGCAAGAACTCATCTATGTGGTCTTTTATTAAACTCTCCAGTATCTTCCCAACTATAGAAGTTAACCTAACAAGTCTGTAATTACATGGTAAAGATTTTGATCCCTTTTTAAATATAGGCACCACATTGGCCTTGCGCCAATCAAGTGGCACTATGCCAGTCATTAAAGAGTCCCTACAAATTAGAAACAATGGCTTTGAAATGACAGAGCTCAATTCTTTAAGGACCCGTGGGTGTATGACATCCGGTCCAGGCGCTTTGTTCACCTTTATTCTGTCTAAATATTTATGGATCATATCAGTTGTGAGCCAATGTGGATCATCTGGAGCTGTGTCAATACCATTCCAATATAGACAAGAGCTCCCCCACGCTCATTTGTACACACAGAGCTGAAGAAGGTATTAAATAAATTTGCCTTCTCTTTGTCCACAGTCACCCACTCTAGATTATTTTGTAAAGGGCCTAAATGCTCGGACCTGACCTTTTTACTATTAATATATTTGAAGAATGTTTGGGGGTTGGCCTGCTATCTTTTGCTTTCTGTTGTCCGTTTTCAGTTTTTTGCGGCCTTGATTTCCTTTTTACATATTCTGTTATATTCTTTGTAATGTTTAAATGATAGTGTTCCTTCATTTTTATATTTTAATATAAGCTCTTTTCTTATTATTCATAGCTTTTTTAACTTTAGCTGTAAGTCACATAGGTTTGATTTTTAGCCTTTTAAACTTGTTGCCCATGGTAATAGATTTTGCAGTGTGTTCACATACAGTCTTTTTGAAGAACTCCCATTTCTGTGTTGTGTTCATCGATGCCAATATTCCTTCCCAGTCTAAGTCTTGGAGAGCAGCTCTCAGCTAATAATAAATTAAATCATGTTATGGTCACTGCTACCCAGATGTTCTTTTATATGGACATTAGTAATAAGCTCTGCATGGTTTGAGATTACCAGACCAGCTCCAGCAGAGCATCATTCCTAGTAGGGGCCTCTATGAACTGTATCATAAAATTGTTCTGTAGTAGGTTTATTTATTTTTGCCCTTTAACTGTTCCTACGGTGCCATTACGCCAGTCAATTTCCGTGTAGTTAAAATCTCCCATTATTATCACTGTCCCAGCCCTTGCAGCCCTTTCGATCTGTGCAAGGAGCTGAGTCTCCACCTCATTAACACTGGGAGGCTTATAACAAACTCCAATGATTACCTTTGTAGTACGCACCCCCATGTGCAGTTCCACCCATAATGCTTCAGCTTCATCACACTCTCCATCAACTAGTTCCACTTTCACACTCACTCTGAGATCACTTCTCACATAGAGACAGACACCACCACCTTTCCTTTTTACCTTGTCTCTCCAAAAGAGAACATAGCCAGGAATATTAAGGGCCCAGTCATGTGAAGAATAAAGCCAAGATTCAGCAATACCAATTAAATCATAGTTCTCTTCATGCACCAGAGCTTCCAACTCACCTATTTTGCTTGGCAGACTTCTGGCATTGGTGAACAAACACTAATTCATTGACACCTTGTGCACACGTATTTTGCATATTTTTTATTTTCGTACAAATGGTGCCAATTCCAATAGTTTTTTGTAATATGGGAACCTTCTTACCACCTTCCATAGCCGTCCCCCCATCTTTCCCCATTCCACCCACCAATAAGGACTGACCCTTGTCTGATCTGTCTGCCCCATTATAATCTAATTCACCTTCCTCCATTGATCCTAGTTGAAATACTCCTCCAGCTGTCCCATAAACCTCTCCCCCAGCACAGCAGACCCCCTTCTATTTAGGTGCAAACCATCTCTAGCATATAGTGTATATAGTATTGTATTGCACCCCCCTTTGTAATGAAAAGCGTCAGGCCAGTGGTTGCTCTAGAAAGAAATCTAAAGCTTTCCCTCTTACACCAGGTCTTATCCCAGCCTGTGGCAGCATTGGCCCAGTTTTGTGTTTCATGGGATGTGTTTAAGTTCTCATGTACATGGGACGGTGAGAGGCTGAAATTGTACTGGGCCTAAAATTCCAAGTGTTTTCTCGAATGTGGAAGTGCTGCGTTCAGGAAATGTGTTGTGCGCACATGCATAGGTAAACGCAGATGCAGAGAAGCATAAGCGTTTACAAGATTTCAACCCTGTATAGGCATTCATTTGTACAGCAGGCTATATATAACAACTGCTGCTCCCCAGTTGTGGGAAGACATCTAGCATTTTACAGCATATTTTCACCCTCTCACCATCCATGTACCTGAGGCCTAAAACTATATTGGCAGTCTTAGACTGGGCAGTAATGCACAAATAGGCAGTTGGCTGTAGGTATGTTTTACAATAAGAGTATGAAAATAACATGTTGAGAGTGAAATAGTGTGCTGAAACGCATTAAATGGATTCAATAGACAGACTTCCATTTTCATTATGTTTTTTGGACACTTGGCATGAAGCAGAATCCATAGATAATGAAAATTTATACAAAAACTGCTGAGTGTTGCTAGAATGACTGATTTGTCTCTCACAGAGGGGATCTGTTTAATTTTACATTATGTCAGAATTGTGCACATACATTTGTTTGTGTGCTAGTACTATTTGATTTTTTTTTTTTACCTGGCGACGTGTGATTGCAGGGGAAACTGGAACTGGAGAATCTACAAAGGACACTGCAGCGCGTACATGGAGAGGCAGACTGGAAGAAGCAGCTGCTAGAAAAAGATCACCAGGAGATAGAGCTTCTTATGACACAGATGCACACACTGCAGGAGAAGGTGGAAATCATGAATAAAGAAAAGGAACAGCTGGAGAAGAGCAGAGATGACCTAGAGTGCAAACTGACTCATACTAAGAAGTAATTGCTAAACTTCTGATTTTATCTGACATACTGTGATGACAACTACAGAAGGAAGTTTCCCGGTACACTGGTCTGTTTACTGCTGCCCAGGTTTATTTTTCTCCCTAGTATTATCTGACTGCTTCATGCACACATCCGTCCCTGGCACTTTTTCACTGTTACGTGTGTGTGCGTGCGTGTGTGTGCGTGTGTGTGTGTGTGTGTGTGTTTTTTCTTCTTTTCTTTTCACATTCTTGATACTCTATAGACTATTTCTTCAGTTAAGACTTCTGACGAGCTGCTTGAGATAGTTTCTATACAGCAGCTCTACAGATTGTCCTTTTTTTCAGAAATCACTTTGGAGGCCATACCCAGATCCCGCTTGACCAACGTTTGCGGTGCTATCTTAGCAGGTGATAATCGGGCACTGGGCTCTGCTTGCGCTGCTTTCCAGACCTTAGTGTACTGTGTTAGTATGGGGCAGGGCGCTGTCCAGGTCAGGTCCAAAGCAATGGCATGGTGTCTGGAATGACCTGGTCTCCGAAGATTCAATTGTGAGTAAGCCTGTGGACACGGTGAAGATCCCCTTTGGTCACTGAACTTTGCATATGGTGCTTTCCAAACCCTTGTCCTGTACTGTACAATAACGAGAAGAGAAATTTCGACATACCCGTAAATTCCATATCTTGGAGTGCATAGAACACAGGTCCCTCCCCTCTCTTCTCTGTTGTCTCTTTGTTGCTTGAAAACAAAACCGGAGCTTCACAGAGTGATCAGGGTAATATTACACCAAGGGACAGCCCCAGTGATGCTTTTGCCAGTGTCCATGAGCTTGAAGGTAGTGGAATAAAACCCACAGTCTATGTATTGATTCCAGTGTATTGTACTGTACTCCAAGATATGGAATTTACAGGTATGTCGTGTTGGTCTGGAGTTTTGTCCTCCACGCACATCACGTCAGGCATCATACCGCTGAGCGAATGTATTTATTTCTGAATGTATTTATCGTATGCTTGGAACTGTATTGCAATGTGGTGCGCTGCGTCGCAGTACAGGGTGAGATGTACCCCGATTACAAAGTATCATGTTGTTTTTTATACTTCTGTAATAAAAGTATCTTTTCAATCCAAAAAAAAAAAAAAAAAGAAGTCCTTTTTATCACACATTGTAATTTGTACCTGTTTTTCCCCATGATCAGGGCCCTCGCCGACACAGAAGAGAGTACAAGGACAGCGAGCGGCATGCTAGACAAGTTGGAGTCTGATATAAAATGCCTACAGAGTGAGCTCAATCATCTGAGCAAGCAAAAACAATCATTGAGGCAGGAAACCACAGCCACTCAACAGACACTGCAAGGTGAGAGCTGAAATTGCATCTGTCATCTCTGACTAGCCTTTGCCCCCCTCTATCCTGTCTCATACAGCTACTAACACCTTTGAACATTTCTGTAATTCCTGACTAACCTTTTTCCCCTTCTTCATGTCTCACACAGCAACAAAAGCATCTGAGTGCATGTGTCACACAAGACTTATCTTTGTCCCCATTTCCCTGCCTCATACAGCTAACACCTCTAACCTCATCTGTAACCCCTGACTAACATTTGCCCCACAAAACTAAAAGCAACCCCTAACCACATTTGTAACCCCTAAATGATCTTTGTCAACCTCTCCCTGCCCCCTCCCCAGCTGCTAATAGCTCTCTGTCCGTTATCGGTGATTAATCATGCCCCTTTTTGTCCCACATTATTAATAATGCACTTGCTTGCATCTGCCAACTCTTTTTATGCAAACCTTAGTTTTGTTTCTCATAACTCCCACATTGAGTATGGAAAGGGGTTCTTTACAGTTAGTGTGGTTGTTTCTGTATGTGCTAATGTGTAGATCAGTAATCAAATCTCTTTTCTTCACTAAGGGGGCTAAATTGGCATCAACCATGGAAAGGGTTTTATTTGCTTTCTTCTAGCCTACAATGTCTGGACATTGTGTGTTTGAACTTGAAGTGCAGAGATCTTTTTTTAGTGTAATGTGAGGAAATCTGTCTTAGGCTTAGTTCACTTTTAGGAACATGTTACACCCTTATTTAGGGTATAACACGGTCCTCAGCACTATCCTTGCATGTAAATATTCCCTCTCCGCACTGGCTAATCTAGAGAATCTCCAATGTCAGAGATGTAGCGCTAGCGCTGCACTACATCTCTGACATTTGCATTTGGGACTGTTCCCGATATCCTGAGTGCTAGCAGCTATTTTATGATCTTGAATTAATATTATTTTAGTATTTTACCAGTGCTCGCTTTTATTCTTTTTAAACAAGAAAATCTTCACATTTAATACAGTAGCCTAGCTATAGAAGAGAAAGCATGTACAAATCTAAAAGTCACATCAAAAAATTTTAAAGGAGGACCTAAACTCTTTTATCTGCCAAGGATAGCGTCCTCTTAGCCTTTATTTAGATTTGCAGTTGCCATGGTGTTGAACATGTGACCAGCTATGACACCAGCACAATTTGAGGGCTTAATTGTTTGTTGAGAGCTGACATAAGCACACTGGCAACTGAGACAGTTATCACCAGAGGTATGCCTTAAATGTGGCATGCATTGCACATGCGCTAACAGGCAGAATATCTATTGAACCACTGCAGAAAAAATATTGGTATGTTAAAGGATTTAATTATATTATTGAACATTTCTAGCTTTAACTTTTTTGTTGAAAAATGTAAATCAGAGGGTTTGGTTCCCCTTTAAAGTAAAATAAGCAATAATTAAAATTATGCACTCACCGAAATACACCCTTTAAGCTCTTGCTGCTACTACTACTACTTCCTCCTCCTCCTTTCTCTCAATCACAGTCACTTCTGCTAGACAGCTTGGACTCCATGTAAATGATGGACAGAAATACAATTATTGCATGCGGTACATGCAGACGGTTACAGCACAGTGTACTTTTTTGGGTAGTGGTCCTTCAGCTTGGCATTAAGCTGGCCATACACTGCAATATTTTCATTTGAAAATTTAAATAAAAGATCATCAGATAATGCTATCAGTAACCTGAAGAATGCTGTTCGAAAGTACGTCAATATTTCTTTTTTTTCCTTTAAGTTCTTTTTATTTGGTGTCCAACATAGACAAAGAAATCGTCGTTAACCTCAGCCGATACAGACACACATTGTAAAATGACAGGTGAAGGTAACAAAAAAGTATTATCAGACAATAATGGCCAGCAGATGCGATGCCTAGGATTTAGTACACACTCGGATTGAACACCTATCGAAATTAATGAGAATCCAGCACCCAAACACAATAATAGCAGGTTAAATTGCAAAAAGTGTTAGCATATATGTGCCAGTCCCTATGGGGTATATAGAAAAATCCCCTTTTTTGTGATAAATAGTCCAGACTCTTTGTTCCAATGTAACTACCAGCATGAACACTGCACCACCGTGATGACAAACTGGAGACTTACCAGATCCTTTGACCCCTTAGCTATAGGGGGTCAACATACGCTTATTACAACATTTCCTTCCAGACTCGTGTATCTCAAGCCAGACCACATGTATCATCAGAAGGCTCTTCAGACTGTCCCGATCTCACAAAGTGGGCATGTATTCATATAACAATAAAAGAGGTGCCTCTCATAGTGCAGATTGTTTAAAAACAGTGTCGTGGTAGTGCGTTAAGAACTACAAGCCAACAGTTGCAAAGGCTGTTGGGACTTGTAGTTCGTTCACAGAACTCTGTGAATGAATGATGTGTCACGGCTTCGCTGTTTTTTAAAAAGCGACAGCTAGTATGTGGAACTTATCCACGTACGGGCGGCGGCTGCAGCAGTGGGAACATGGGTGGAACATGTAGCATGTTCCCAAAGGTGAACTTATCCTTCAACATTCGATTTTGGCATCAATGGAATTTCCTAAATGAAAATCACATTCACTATTAGAATTTCATTCATTCAAGAAAAAATTTCCATCCTCATTCTTCAATTTCTTTTTATCACAACAATTGAAGTATGATAGTATGATATGACCCCATTACCTATTAGAAGAATGAACAAGTGTTCTAAAAACTAACATTTTCGAACAAAATTCTACTGTTGTATGGCCAGCTTTAGTCCTGAACTGCTGTGTGTTTTGCCTCAGATGGTAACATTTGCTTATTTTGTCTTTTATAAAAGCCAGTCTCTGAGTTAAAACAAATAATGAACGATTTCTGTCCTGCATTCTTCTTTTTGGCAACATTCATATTTACCTTCAGCTTCCCATTTATGCAGGTTGTATCTGGGGACATTTCTTGAAAAAAAAAAAGGAAGTGGTTTTACAATGTTTTCTTTCTTACAGAAAGAAGGGAGGAGGTGAAGCTGCTGCAGGGTGAGCTGACTGACTTGCGGGATCAGTTGAGGATGGCGGAACAGGTAAATGATTCATGCTTTGTGTGTCTGATGGTATATCTATTCATGTTGACCCATACTAACCAATCAGGTTATTCCAGTCATGTTTTACTATCATATGGAAGAACAGAAAGGGACAATCTGTTAGAAGCATTCAGCTAGCCCTCACCATATATTTGAATTACTATTGTAATTCTGCTCTCTTCTGTCTACCAACAGTCATACTGGCTTCACTCTAGTCCATCCTTAGCTCTGTTGCTTGACTCATCCATCTCTCTTTTTCACCCTTACAGTGCTGCTCCTCTCTATCAATACTTTCACTGGCTGCCATTTACTTAAAAAATTTACTTCATGTTAATCTACAAAGTTATCTAGAGTCTGGCCCCAACATACATTTTTTTCAAGATTCCATGCAGTGTCTTCAGGAACAATGTTCCATGGACTGTTAAATCAAAGATAGGGTTGTTTGCCCACAGTAACAGTAAGCAAGTTTGGCAAACCGAAGACAGCATTTCAGGAAAAGGGCCTCCTACCAGCTTTGAAGGATGATGATGGAAATGTTATGATTTTAGGATTGCTTTGTGGTCTCAGGGCATAGCAGTCTTGCAGTCAAGTCAACCATGCATTCTGAATCATATCAAAGAGCGCTTACCAAAGCGAGAATGCTAGGCTGTCTGTCCAATTAGTTGAATATGAACTGGAAAAGGATTCTCTCTACACTAAAATTAATTAAGCACACTGTAGCAAACTTGCTCATCAGAGATGGACGTGGAGTTCCCCTTTTTTATTAGAAGTATTCCTCAATCCTTTAGTCCCTACCCCCTCCCTTCCTGAGAGGCACAGGGACAGATGTGTAAGTGTTAAAAGTGCTGGCAGGCTGAAGCAGCATGGGGCCCAGTGCTACAAGGCCCCCCCCATAGAGACGGCAGACTCTCTGTCCCAAGGCCTGTGTAAAATCACACCTCCTAACCAAGATAAGATAGTTTTTTCCCTGGACTTGAAAGAAATTGGAACCTCATAAACCCTACCAGCCAGGTGACAGAATTTAAATGAACATTCCTCAGATCAGCTGTCACCTATGTTTCATATCATGGATTTTGAAGCTGTTGGTTTTAATTCAGAGTCCACCCGACTTCCCTCCCTAAACAGAGATTGGCCAGTTACTCAGCGCCACCCCCCTTGCTAGGGGATTTTAAAAAAACACAGGCTGTAGGCCTGAAGGTAAGCTAAACACATCTCCCAATTTTAACATCGTAACAGCAGGAGATTAAAGACCCTTCGCTCTGCAACTTAGATCTGCTTACCTTAAGGCTGAACATGGCAAGTAACTTAACCTTTTAACTTCTCCCTGTTATCGCTTTGCTGTGCTGTTTTCTATGTATATATAAATATATGTCTTAGTTACATTTTTTTTGTAAATATTTTATTGCACCTGTTTGACTCTTTTAGTAATAAATCTTTCTTTCTGAAAGTGTTAAACTGTTTCTAAAGCGCTTAATTGCAATTTACGAATCCCTGCCTTCTGAAGAGACGCTACTGTGTTTGTTTAATCCTCTGCCCAATCGGCCTGCGGTGACCGTATTGGACAGGCGACTTTTCAACCATTACAGTGTATATTTGATAAAGAGAGTTTCCCATTTCTCTGTACAAAAAGTGGTGGTAACAGTAGAGGGTTAGTTGCGTAATTAACCCGACCCAGTAACAAGCGCATTCAGGCTGCCGGTGCATCGATTGCGTTCCATTAGCTGGACAATCATTGTGCAGGGCACAGCTGAGTGTGGCATTGTTATGCACGTCACATCGCGGTTTTAGATCGGCCGGTCCTTCGGTCACGAGGTTGGTGAGAAGGTCTGGGGTCTGATGCCGCGGGCGTGATGCATTGTTGGTCACGGTCGTGTGATTGTCGCATGTTGAGGGTGGCGATCGTGCGATCCGTGACACACACTAACAAATTCACCTGGGAAATTTCAAGCTTAAGGTTCTTTTCCCTCTGTCTTTTTAGATTTTACGTTACGTGGGCTCTCACATCCACAGCTATCTCTTTACAAAATTGGTGGTCTAATTGGGTAGCATTCTTCCTTATCGTGAACTTCCCTTTCCCTGAAGTCAAGAGTTAGTAGTGTTTAGCTTAAGCCTCCTGCTGTTGCCTGACCTTTGGACGTATCTGTCCTAACTCCCTTTCCCTGACGGTAAGGGTTAGGTAAGCTAGGCTTAATTTTTTTTTTTCTTCCTGCAGATTAATCGATGTTTTTTTCTATTGGATGTGGTATATCTGTTTGAACCACTCCTTAGGGTTCTGGCTCAGCTATCATGTTCTTTTTTTTACAACATTTGTTGCTGGTCTGCTTTTCTCTAGTTTTGGGGAGTTTGTTCCACCTGTTCACCTTTTTTGGCAGATGGTCATTTGCTCCTTTGCTTTGTTGGTTAAGGCCCATCATCCCGTTAGGTAGTAGTTTCCCCTTGGCAGTGGTTGTCTGTCCTGGTTTAAAACACATAAAGTTGATCGTAGGTGCCCTTGATCATGGAAACTTTCATAGTTGGTTTGGCAGTTTCTCTATCTAGCCATTGGTGTTGACTCTTTATTTAAGTTGCTGTTTCCCCACCTTTCCCCTTCAGTTGTACTGCTTTTGGACATCAGACTGTTTAGAAATTCCTTTGTCCCTGCGTGGACATAAAAAAAAGACTTTTGTATTTATTGTAAAATCAATTTCTTCATTCCCTCCATTGAGGGAAACGGGTCCCACAACTCTGTGTTATTGGCTCTTGCACTGCTTGCTTACAAAACCTAAGGCATTATGGTTTACGGTGGGGTTCATCATCTTTTTTAGTCAGTGTCCCAGGCTCCTTTAGATGACAGTATAACCAGACTTAAGAATTACTATGTCCCTCAACAGACTTCAAGAAAAAAAAATTTACAATTACAAAGATCTTATTTTTTCTGATCAACTTTCTACTGGTATAATGTAAGATGAAGAAGCTGCAGTGAAATGGGGAAAAGGAAGCAAATGTTTGTATTTCTGTAGTCCGTCTTTGTAGCAACTGAAATTAACCTTATTTAATAACAATTTAATTTCCTTCATGTTTTGTTATAGGATCTGAGGAATACTACAAAGCAGCGGGATAACATGTTGCATGAGCAGTCCACCCTGCAGGATGAACTGTTAGAAACCACAAGCCGATACAGACTGCTGCAGGAAAAAGAGAGCAGAAAAGAACAACACCTCAAACAGCGGCAAAGTGAAATTGAAGGCAAAGAGTGCGAGATCAAGCAACAGGAAACTGTAAGACCAGTACACAGCTCATTTAATGATCCTGACCGATATGGCCATTTTGTGGAATTACAATAAAATTCAGCATAGTTCTAAAGTAACCATATGGAGATTTCTAACCACAGGTTTATCATTATTATTTGCAGTTATTACAACAATTCCTGACATAAAGCATAAACCCAAAAACAAAAATGTTAATATATTGTAGTTTACAAATCCTTAGATGTGGTGTCTGCATGTGTTTTTTTTTTTTTTCTTTTAGTTTCACCTAGTGATCCATTCAGTAACAATTTTCCTGTGTTATAGCAAGGCTTGGTGAGGGTAGTGTTAAACGGACTGCTAGATTTTGCTGCTCTGCTTTTTGTTTTTTTTAACAGAAATGTTTATTAAGGTTTGTCAGACAAAGACAGAGTTCACAGTAGTACAAAGTAATAGTACATGATACAGTAGCAAAGCTTCTTGCAGGATTCAACAATAGCAGTTAATAGTCCAAAGGACCATAAAGGATAATGAGACATGACAGACTGGTTACATGTCAGAACATGGTCGTTCTTCGTACACCAAGTTAGTAAAACAGAACTAGGCAAAACCCACTCTAGGCTGTTGCCAAATACAACTTATGAGAAGAGAGGGGATGGGAGGAGAGGTAAAAGAGTGGTCCAGAGCAAGGGAAAAAGAGGGAGGAGGATGCAGGGAAGAATAAAATACAGAGAGGGATGAGGCAATCAACATTGTTGTTCACATGCCTTCTGCCGCCTCCTGAATTAAGTGTTTATCCAGATAGACCACACCATGTCAAATTTCTTAGAACAGTTGCTACTTTCATATGTAATTTTAGAGGGGTAGAAATTAATTCACTGCCCTCTGCCATGTAAGCGCAGTGGGAGGTGTGCGCTATTTCCAACATAGCAAGATTTCACGTCTTGCATAAATAAGACATAGGTAAGAAAAACTATAGTATATCTTTCTACTTCAACATCCTCCATATGATTTAGTGATAAGAGTCTCGGGTCTAGCCATATAGTCAGATCACATATGTCATTAATGGTGTCAACCACCGACTCCCAGTAAGGCAAATAGTAGGACAAGACCACACCTGAAGATTACTTAGCCTTCTCCCCAAAACATTATGTATTTTTTTCTGAGTTCAGAGGCCTTGTATAAAAAGGAAAAAAAAATGGCACTTTCACATGATAATTGCGCCATTTATCAAATGTATATTTTCCATAAAAAGCACAATCAAATTATTTTAGTGCACACAAACATGATATAATACCCACTTTTTTGATAAAATATAAAAGGTGAGGTTTTATCCAGTAAATAGATACTCAAAATTTCATATGCTCACGCAAAAAGGTACAGTACCCGAAACTGTCCCCAGGCGATGCTTTAAAAGACTTTACAACTCATCTATTTAGAGTTAATGATGGGATCATCTTAGAATTGTTGCTCTCACACTAGTATGTGTGATCATACCCAATATGTGTGAAGCAATTTTCTTACATGTGAACAACCAACACACATTTGCATTCATTTATGCACAGATGTAGAAGTGATCACTTTTACAATAAAGCTGACAGCCTGCAGAAAAAAGGTAAATAAGGCCTTCATATAGATATTAAAATACAACATTGCCTTTTTGATACTATAAAGTATTTACGTCACCCCCTCTATTACAAATCCAAAAAAGGGTTTATTTTTTTAAACCCATAAAGAGAAAATATATTATATTGCAGTTTACTAATCCTTAGATGCTGTAGCTGTTTTAGTCTTTTGGGTTTTTTTTAAACATTTTTCTTTTATTTCACCTGGTGATTCCGCCGGGTAACACACTTCTTGTTTTAGGGTGTCTGCATTCTGGATGAAGTAGTAAAGCAGACACCTTTTGGACAGCAGCATTGTCACTCTGGTGAGAGGGTAGTGTTAGACTGCCAGATTTAAAGCGATACTAAAAGTTAATTATTTTTGTAAAATAACAAACGTTATTAGCCAATGAAGAGGCAGAGACCCCGGACAGCTGAGGCTTTCGTGCACATCACTGGATCTCGATGGGGCTCAGGTAAGTATTGAGGGGGCTGGGGACACTGCTGCACACAAGTTTTTTACCTTCGTGCATAGAATGCATGAAGGTAAAAAACCTTCAGCCTTTACCTTTAAGCTTGGTACACACAGGCAGTTTTTCGTTCAGTCCAGCGGGCTGAACAAAAAAAAACAAAAAAACTGAGGTGTACTTGCTGTACTAATTATACAGTGTTGGTACAATGATCTTCCCTCTAAGCTAATGTCTTCTGAAAGGGGGACTGTCCCCCACCCCCGCCAGGAAACACATCAGTCAGCGCTCACAGCAATTGGCTGTGAGTGCTGATCAGATGCTGATTGGCTGCTGGTTTGCAGCATGCCCATTCAACAGAAGATAGACAGGCTGCTGTACACATGGGCCGAATGTTGGCCAGTTTCTGTTGTACTAGCCGATATTTGGCCCGTGTGTACCAGGCTTTAAATATACTATACAAGTTTACAAAAATCCCCCAATAGTTTGTGGTCATTGGCACTGTTGTAGAATAGACCTGAAAATCTGTCAAAGTAGAAAGAAATCTGTATTATAGTATGGCTGGAGGCTCTTGCAGTATGATGTATAACATAGCAAGTCCTGAAAAGGCCATTCCTGTACATAAAAAAATGTACACAGGGCTGTAAGCGCTTCACTTTAATGCTGATGTTTTTCTAGACTCTGGCATGGGTTTAGGTTGTTTGTTTGTTCATCCTTTTACATTTTCATTCTGTAGTGACAACTGGGGGTTGCTTCCTTATGTCAATTATGTAACAATGCTGCCTTATTCCTGTCTGTGTGATAAAGTTATAAATAAATAATTTTAAAAAATAGCATAAAAACAAATATCCCAACTGAGCCCTACGATAAACTGAATTCCCATTGGCTAATACATCTGTACATCACCAGAATATAGTAGCATTGCCAAATGAGATTACATTATCATATTCATGATAATTATATTCAAAAATTATTTATGAATAGTAATCCCCTTTTCCCCAAGGTCTTTATCTGGTGTTGACTATGTTGAGACGTCTCATGCTGTTTTGCAGAACATATACAATTTGCAATTTCAGCATCCTTGTTCTTATCCCATAAAGAGGCTTTATATTGATACATATAGCAAGAGCAGAGTAATAATTGGGCTTACAGGTGGCCATTTGTCTTTCTAACCACTATTTTCCTACAGTTTCCCCCCCCCTTGATAATTCCATCTCTCAAAAATTGCAAACGAAGGAGGGATAATGTGAAATATAGAGATTACAAACAGGATACAACCAAACATATATATTTTAGTTTGACTTTCAAAGCATGTATCCTTACTGTTCATTGGACAACTTCACAATATCTGTAGATTCCATGTTCCTCTGAAAAAGGTGGGCATGTGTGCATATAGTCATTATAATTGTAGCATTCTTTATTACTAGTCTGTGACACAAGGTAACGTTCAGTACAGCATTGAGTGAGGTGGGGCAAATTGTAATGATCAGTTATGAAAGTGGTTCTTAAGGAAAAACATTTTTTTACCTTGACTCATTCCCTGCATTATGGTAAAAAAATGCCCCAGTATTTGTATTGTCCTCTCACCCTGTAAATACCTACCCGAGTGCTCACTTGTTCCAGCTCTGTGCCCTCTGCAGCGACTCTGGCTTCTTTCCCCTCTTTCACAGGACAGACAGAGGCAGCAGAGGGGGACCAATTGTTTTTCTGCTGCTGTAAATCAAATCCTGTAAGCAGAGAGCAGGGGCTGGGCCGAACTGCACTGTGTGTGTCTATGTACACACACAGCTTGACTCAGGAGCGAGCCTACACATGCACCTCATAGAAAGCTGCTTCCTACGGTGGTGCATAGAGCAGAGGAGGAGCCTAGAGCACTGGTGGGGAACCCAGATAAGGAGGATCAGGGCTGCTCTGTAATATGGATTATAAGCAGCACGTAAGTATAAACCTGTTATTTTCATTTAAAAAAAATATAAAAAAGAGCCTTCTACAACCGCTTTAGTAAAACACACCCAAGTTATTTCCTTGTACCTGTTTCATCAACAATCTGTTTTCTCAGGCCTTGTAGATGTTTAGGCTTTAACCAGAGTTCCATTTCATACTCCTCATCATCATTTGCTTGGATACTGTGTAAAATCTACATAAAAACAAAATGCAATGATTTACAGATCTCAAACCCATATTTTATTCACAATAGAAAACATATCAAATGTTTATTTTCAAATATTTTTATTAAATTTTTTTCAGTTTTCTTGAACAGGATAACATCATATAGGAACATTCAAGTAAAAGGTTCACAAATGTAAGTTTACAGGACATGAGAGGAAAGAAGAGGTAATAGATCCCCACCATCCGGCTGGGGACCTGTTAAATGTGATCAAGTTTACATGAGAGGTATGCTCGTGGTTCATGAACCATGTTGCAGAACGTGAAACATAAGGAACTAGGTGGGGGATGAGAAAGGGCAAAAAAAAAAGGGGAAGGGAAGAAGGAGGGCACCAATGAGCTGTGAATATAGTATCCAATAATATTTAGAACTAGTAATCAGGTGATTGAACAATTGGGGTGTTTTATCAACGAGACCAATGTAGTGTAAATTTATGATAGGTGGAGTTTCGGAGGGCCGTTCTTCGTTCCATCTCGCATTGTAAATTGAGATCAGCAACAAGACGGGACAATAGGGGGGGTGACGAAGATCGCCATAGTTTAGTGATGTTTAGCTTTGCTGCTGCCAGAATATGTACGGTGATAGTGCGTGAGTGTATGGGGACTTTTTCTATCGATATATGAAGGAGGGCTAGTCCAGGATTTGGGGTCATTGGTGAGTCTATAATTGAAGAAATCATTTGGAACACTTTATTCCAGTACGACTTGATGGATTTGCAGGACCATAGCAAATGGAAGAGCGAGCCAGTTTTGTTTGCCGCAATGTCTCCAGCAGGTGTGTGACTGTTGTGTGGTA